AAAGTAGACAATTGCGGACCCTCAGTTGAAGCAATTACGGCCTAATAATTATTTACTCCTTTTCCAACAGTTTATTGAGCCTGAACTCTAATAAATATTACATGAAAATTTGTGTAACAGTAAACTTAAATTCAACAGTAAATTAAATAATTATACAAAACTTTATTTGGATGATGGAGGCCCAATGCAGCGGGAATGCTTGATGAATAAAGTTAAATTTAAAATACAAAAATAGAGACTAAGACTCAATCTACTTTCACCAAACAAACAAACAAACAAATAAACAAACAAATCAGCAAAAAGCGAAGATAAAAAAAATAAAAATGAAAAACGAGAGCTAAGCTCTAGTATGATGTATTATTTATCTAATGTTATATATATATTTATTTATATTTGGGTTGTAGTCGCAGTAAGGAGATATTGTGTGGTTTTAACGGTTGTAGGAGGTCCTTTTCTTTCAGAGTTCACTAAGTTAAATGTCGTTTGGGTTGCGGTTGTTTTTGTTGCTCTATCCAAATAAATATCATTATTGTTTGTTATAAATTGTAAATATTTTATACGTGAAACTCACTCCCATAATCCCTCATTTTGGAAGGTTTTATGAGCGATACTTAATAAAAAAAAATAAACGGGAGCCTTCCGGGTTTTTGACCTGAGTTCAAACGTAACTTAGTGCCTTTTATTTACTGTATTTTTATTTCCCTTTTTAATACTTTCCCTATGAATACAACACCTCACAAGTACCTTGGGTTACTAAATTAATGAGCTTTATAACCGTAAGTATTTATTTTATTTATTTGTCGAAATTTAATATAACATTTGCCGTGGTGTTATATTTCATTTATCACTTGGGGTGTAACTTTTTACAGATTCTTTGCTGGGGGGGGGTGTACGCTTACAAGTTAGTTTTTAAAATATAAATATGTACTTACACAAGTATACAAAACATTGTATACAAATTCCAAAACGGACCGTTAAATATTCCATGAAATATAATAATTGTTTTATGATCGCGCTCTTCAAATGAAAGCTGTTACAGAGGCATGATCAAGCCAGTTCGATAAAAATTTAAAATTACAAATAAGGATGAGTTAAATTATAAAAAAATGGTTTTAAATGTATTGTACATGTATACATTTAAAACATTCTTTTCATAGATTTTAAAGATTATTTATATTTCGATTTTGTTAAAGTAACTTTTTTAAAAAAATAAAGAAGGAGAATAAGTTCTTACTTTTAAAAAATTGTTGTGAACGTGATAAAGTTTTACACATGTGAAAATTCATTTACAAAACTTTTTCCGATGCTCGTTCTTGCTTTTATAAACTACAGAAATATTATGCAAGAAAGAATCACGGAGAAAGGATTGTCTATAAATAGATAATTGCATATTTTTATATGAAAAAATTATTTGATTTTTTTTTATTTAATACAAATATATTTGAAAAAGAAATCGTTTTAGAAGAAGTTATAAATAATTATAATATTTATTAAAGTACATAATACATTTATTTATAATGTACTATATTGTATACCAAAAATGTTGGTAGAAAAGTTAACAGTGGATCCCTTGGTAAAAAATAAGGCATAATTAGCGTTAAAAGGCATTACCAGATAAAAAATGGGAAAAATTTGGTATTATTCATTGTTTAAAAGTTATTAAAAAGTTATTAAAAAAATTTAAAAAATTTTAATATCCTGCAACTTGGAAACGAAAACTCGTAGAGCATAACTTGACAAGAAAAAAATCTATTATTTTTTACTAAGGAATCTTCTGTTAAATATTCTAGATACAATTTACAAATTATACATACAAAATGTTAATAGATATCATACAGTAGTAAATACAATGGTAAAATCAGGAAATCCAAGGTGCACCAACTTAAAAATTAATTATTACACTACAATGATATCCCAAGCTTTTTTAAAGTAATCAATTTTTGCAGTAGCCTTTTAAACTTGAATACATCAAATTGGCTCGGTATGTGCACATTTACCGGTTTGTTGGTAAAAGTGCGAAGAATAGTAATTTACGCCACAAAGGTAGCAAGTGTGTGCATAAATATCTATTTAAATTAATATTTCCTTGTTAAAAAGTGTTGGGTTTGGTTGGTTGGTTTGTTTTCGTTTAATTTATTTATTTACCTATGTACAAATTTTTTACCTATATAAATATTATTGGAGTACGTACTTTTACCAACAATACAGGCTAGAGTAAACATTTACTGGCGAATGTGGACATTTGTCGTTATACTCACTTTTACCGTACTACTTTACATATTTTGGTACCTTTTGATACAAAAATTATGATTACATTTTCGAAATCAGCTTAAAAAATAACCCCTATAAAAACAAATGTTCACTTTAATAACTTGTACACTGCGCGTAAGGAGTTACCTACAAAATTAAGAAAAAAATTACGCAAATTTATTAAAAAAGGCATCTATGTTTTATGTTATCATACAAAAAAATATTGTTTAACAAACTTAAAAAATAAAAATTAAATATTTTTATTTTAATCATTTCTTACGAATTATATTCAAAAACCAAATGTATGTGTATTATGTTAAGAATATATTAGGAAAGATCTTGAATTAAAACAAATTTATATTTTTATACTTCTTGGGCGGAGGGTTAATGATTTTTTTATAAAACAATAAACAAGTTTAAGATTAAATCTTGATCGGCTGGCAAAAACAAGGTGTTTAATTTTATTTAAGAATTAATAATTTTTCTTAATAATTCTAGAAACTACTTAAAAAACCTCAACATCCAAACATTTTTTAGCTTAAGATAATGCACACCAATTTCCACCAAAAATACAGTCATAGAAAGTATATGAGAATATATTAAAAACACAAATATTGGTTGCAATTTTTCCATGGTAAGCATTGTATTGCCTACACCATTAATTTTTTTAGTCAATTCTACATCATTAATATATTTCTGAATTAATCCATTATCACTCATGGTCATTATTACTTTGTTAAACTGAGCAATCAAAAAAAATCCATCTCTAACATACATTGTAACCGGCGAGGTTAGAATAACTTTTTTAAGGCAAACTATTAACGGCTCGTTATATTTAGTTTTGTACAAACTCATAATGTAATCATGGCTAACCGACGTCAACGCCATTGCATATTTTTTTTTATTAGCCACGTCCTCTACGCATTTCTCCACATTATAACATGGTACCAGTTTGTTAGATATATCAAGATCATTTAATTGACTTTTCTGTGTATAATAAACATAAGGAATTAAGTCGCTCTTTAATATTTTCTCGTAACTGTTGTATACTTCAGTGGATTCTAAATATGCCAAGGAACTTGTAAAGAATGTTAAAAAAGTTGCGTTTAAAAAAATGTTGATTAATATTATTATGAAAACCAAAATTCTTATTATATCCTTTTTGGGTAAAACTATAGGAACACCCAATAAAAGAGCGTAAACTTCCAAAAGCACTCGTCCGAAGTGTTTTATGTACATTGGGTCTTTGAGGATTTTTTCATTGTAACATTTAACCAGTATCACTAGAATACATATAAAAAATGTCAAGTAAAACGTGTACATATCAATAATATTGGCAACATTTTTATTGCTTTGGCTGTGTTTATGTGGCACACACCATAGAATTTTTGGATACAAATAGGGATAAGTATGATAAAATGCTTGAGATCTTTTATAAGTTAAAGAGTACTGTCCAATCATTATATCAATTTGCTTTTTGTAAATTAGGTTCATGTTACCAAAGACAGTATTATTATCTAAAACATCGCCAAAACTACTATCTTTATCTATAGTAATCATGCAAATTGTTATGTTAAAGGCAATCCCCAATATGGTAAGAATATTAAACTCTATTCCAAATTTACTTATTTTTCCATCTGTGCATGTATTATTTTCCACATTTAAAAAGTTAGGAATTATACTACTTACTGCCGCAAATATTTTTTTCGGTGGAGCGCTGTTAACAATTTCAACAGTTTTTGTAGAACCTTTAAAACATTGAGTTAAATTGGCTTTGATAAATTTCCAGGAACATCCTGTTAAACTACAATAAGCTGCTTGGTAAATTATTATTCTAAAATCATCTTCTTTAAAATTTCTTAAGATTAGGATGGCATTAAAATCCTCCCGACTTAATACATTGTTTATTCCATTAATTAATCCATCGTCTTCAGAGCTTAGGTTGGTTGATATTAAGAATTTTACGTGAAAATCCCAGTATACGTTATTTGTTTTGATAAAGTCAACTAATTCTATAAACTCTTGCAAATTGTTTATGTGGATAATGTAGTTTGTGTCCATCATTGATGATTCTTGAATTGTATAGTCATTTCCATACTTCATTATAAATATACCCCACGTAAATGTTTGTATAATATTGGGCATCAAAACTTCTTTAAGATAGCTATCCTCGTTTAAAACTATTGTGATTGGTTTCGAATATTTTTGCAAAATATAGTTTGAAATTACTTGATTAGTACAGTCTATTAACTTTTCTTTGTACAAACTTTCAGTGTTATCTAATATAAAAAACATGACGATATATTTTATAAACATTGTTCACAATTCATAGGTAAACACCACTCTGTTGTGTAATTTTTATAAACTAATTTTAGGGCTTTTTTCCATCACGGTCGACAACTAATTCTTTACATATTTGTACGTATTGACACAAAAAAATAAACAAATGGTTATTTTGATTTATGTACACAATTTTAACTAAAAATAATATTTATGATATGTACTTTTGTATGTATTCACTATGATTAATCAAAATTGTTGATATTTACCCAAAGCTTTTTTTTTAATATTTATTAGTCATTTGACGAATGAATTATATTTATTTTATAGCTTTTAGAAAATAAATAAAATTATAACTAATTTTATTAAATTTTTATTACAATTATCATATAATTTCTTTGAATTTGTTTATATTTTATTGTTGTTAGCACCTTTGAAATTTTGTATTTTTTTCAACAAACAAATTTTAGGTACTCTCAATGTACGATGTACTGCCTATAAGCACACATCATATCACTTTCCGGGGACATATGGCAAAGCTCCATGAGCAAAAGCTGAAGCAGCTACATGGGCGGCAAGTGGCGCAGTAACCAAAGGATTAGCAAATGCAGCGGCGATTGCGTGTGCGCTGTATGAGGAGGCGTATGGAACCGAATAGGTAGATGGGACTAATAGGTCAATTTTGCGCCCATTTGTAAGCATCTATAAGCAAATCTGTAACTTTCTATAAGCTTATAGACAATTTGCAATTCTGCGCTTCCTGTAGCTTACAGAAAATCTTATAGAATCGTAAATATTTACGATCGGGTGTTTCCCAATCGTTGCTAGTTACAGTTTGTTTTTGTTAGGTTATGTAAAGCTATTTTAAAGATTAAAAATATGAATATTTTTAATAATGTCAATGTGGATATAATAATGGTAATATTTATCAATTGGGACAAGCAGCCTGGGCCAACTACATTAGAAATAATTTCAATTTTGACTAAATAAAACAATTATTGTATTAATACAAAAACTTTATATTTTTATTTTACATGGTATGAAAATAAAATAAAATAATATTCCTAAAAAAAATAAACCACAGCCTACTCGGTCAAAAAAGAAATAAACAACAAAATAAATAAATATTCTAATTAGTCAAAAATTAATAGGTCAAATATCAAAATTTGGATTTAAAAATTTAATTTTTTTCATTTCAAATCCTAATTGTTCTTCTTTTAGCCTTATATAATTTTCTAAATAGTTTTTAATAACCTCAAAATGTTTTTTTTATTTATTTCTGCTCCTTGTTCAAATTTATCCAGCCATGGTTGGCCCAATGGAAAATCTCCATCCATTGCATCCAAATATAGTTCAACTGTTGAGGAGCAGTAGCGTAACTAGGGGAGGGGGCGGGGGGGCGGTCCGCCCCGGGCGGCACTTCTTGGGGCGGCAAAAATCGTGTGAGAAAATGCGAAAAAAACTGGAAGACAGAATATAAAAATAAAAAAAATATTTGATAATTAAATATTCTCTTTTGAAATAATATAATTCAAATTCCAATAGATTTGAGATTTATCCAATTACTCCCAAAATATTCCAAATCAAATAAAGCTAGCAAAAAATAGAAACAAGACCGGTATTCTAAATATTTAAACATTTTTATTTATTTTTTACTCAGGTTTAAGTTTTTTTGTAGGTACTTTTACATAAGGTTGAGAATTTATCTCTTTGTTTTTTTCATATAAATTATGTTAAAGCACATTTTATTTGTTGTTTTTCTTTACCTAGGTCTAAGAATTTTTGTTTGTTTTTAATTCTTAAAATATTACAATTTAATGTTATATATAATATGTTATATATATAATTATATATCTTTAATTTTGCGTACGGTCCTCAAAACTGACTCCTAACCTAACCTCTCTTCCCCCCCCAAAAAAACATGAGGGCGACAGCCACTGCTGCCCCGGGCGGCACTTTTTCTAGTTACGCCGCTGTTGAGGAAAGGTGTTTTTTTATCTTTTTTTCTTTGTTGTTTTTGCTTTACCACTAACCATTGATTGACTTCTTCACTCAACGCACTAACAATTTTATTCATTATATAAATTTCTTACTTTTTGTATTATATTATATGCTGATACATAAATGAAAACCGATAAACTGTGGATAAACCAAATAATACATATAAAAATATAGGTTATATAACAAACACATGTTTGATCGTAAGTAAATAGGCGTGAAGTTGCAGTAGTTCGTTTATACTACTTTAAATTATACATTTACAGATAACATCCCAGAATTGCCACTTTTACGATTCTATAAGCATTATAGTTACAGATCATCGTAAGCTATAGATTTACGAATTTACAGAAATTTTACGAGAGAACCCAGAATTGACCTATAAGCCTGGGAGGCTGCAGGAGATAACCATGGCAAAGAAAATTACAATCTGAAAAGTTTTTTCGAGAAAAAGTCTTTTTTCATAATTTATTTTGCTTGTTATATAAATTCAATTCGCGTTGAGAAACATCCAATTTGTGAGTGTGAGCAAAAATACTAATTTTCAAAATTAAAAATTTTTAAATAATTTTTTTGAAGCGAATATAAAGAGATGGTAAAGAGAAATTAAAAATTCAAATGATGTTTTTTCATATAAATATTTGATATTGAAAATTTAAGATATTAGTTTTTAAATTTTAACAAATAAGTGTAGACATGTCAGTCGAAAGCAACAACCTTGAGTCATAATCACAAAATGAGAAAGCAGTCAATTTCTACAAAATAATAATATTAATAATAATAATAAAGTTTATTTCAAAAATAATGTTTAAAAGTTACAGTAAACAGACAAACAGTAAATAGAAAATAGTCAAAGAATGCAAACAAAAGTTGGATATCATGGTTGAAAAATTTACATAGTAAAATCACTTAAAGCATATGGTTCCATTTCACAAATATAATCATAAAGGATGGTTTTAAAAACTTGTATTGTTTTTATGCTTCTTATATCTTCTGGAAGTTTATTATAAAAAGATATACAAGAATATAAGGGTCCTTTCTCATATAGACTTATTCTATGTGGAGAAATATTGTAGTTGGTAACTCTTGTGGATTTTGTTTTAACAATTTTAAAAATATTTGGATTTTTATATAAAAACAATACAGATTTATATACACACCATACACAGTCAAAATTCTATTGTTTTTAAAAACTGTTGTATAGGATATACCAAATATTACCCGCTCTTTTGTGCAACAAATAACAGATTAATATATTTACATTTTCCCCAAAAAATAATACCGTATTTTAAAATACTTTGAAAATTGGCAAAATATATGGTTTTTAAAGTTCTTTGGTCAACGTAACTCCTCAACACAAACATTGTGTAGAATACTTTATTAAGCTTTGTGATCATGTATTCTATATGAGAACACCAGTTTAGATGTTCATCTATATATATACCTAAATATTTATTGTTTTTGGACTACTCCAGCGTTATGTCATTGATTACCACTGGTTGAGCCGTTAATTTAGTATTTGTTTTAAATAACATAATACTGGTTTTAGTATCATTTAAGATTAATTTATTTTCTACCATATATTTTTTAACTAAATTAAATATGTTGGACACATAAATGTAAATTTGCAACAATATTTTCGGTATTATTAGATTTAATTATTAAATTTGCGTCATCTGCAAAGGAAGTTAAAAAGCTAGATTGATTGAGACAGATTAAAATAATTTGTAAAAACTATAAATAATAGCGGCCCCCTTACGCTCCCCTGTGGTATTCCTACAGTCAGTTTACGGGCTTCTGACAGGTTTCTATTAAAATCTTTAAAAATCTCAACTATTTGAGTTCTGTTTAAAAGATAAGACTGTATCCACCTTAGTGCCATTCCTCGTACACCATATCTAAACTGTCAAGCATGTTCTGCACATAAGAAAACACTGCAGTGTCCACAGACCTACCCTTTAAATATCCATGTTGGCTATTATTAAATAGATGAAACTTATTAAAAAATGAAACAATTCTGCTACACAATGCCTTTTCAAATACTTTTGAAAATGACGATAAAAGACTTATTGGGCTATAATTTTCTATTAAATTGGGCCACTCAAGTTAGGACCTGAATTGATTTTATTTTTAATAACAAATATCTTAGTAACAACAACTCACATAAAAAAAACTTTATTTGGCTTTTTGGTTTCTCCTTACAAGCTCTTCATATTAGACCTTAAAAAAATATTTAACAATTTTTAATTTTGCAAAATCAACAATTGTATTTTTTGTGTGCAACAAAATATAAGTTTTTCATCGTGAATGGTATTTATAGGTATAAAAAGCAGAATAAATTATGAGGAGTGACTTTTCTTCGAAAAATTAAAAATAAATATTTTTACAAGTAGGTATAGTTAAGTGAAACCATGGACACACTGTATATATATTAGGGTGGGTTAAAAACAAAATGTTTGTTTTCTTAGGGGGGTATAATTTGTACCTTATAAAAAAAGAAAATTAAAAAAAAAATGTTACCCAACATCTTGAGGTGGCCCACTCGTTTTTTTAAATAAATATTTAATTAAATGGGGTAGTTCCAACGGGAAATTCTTTTTTTTTTGTTCTAAAATCTGGAGAAAGCCCATTGGAAATCAAAAGTTGAAAAAGTTTTTTTCCATTGTTTTTGTAATTTAAGTAAAAAATTATAAAATTAAATTCACTTTCTTTTGTATTAGAATGAAAGTTAAGTAAAAAAAATCACATTCTACAATTTTTACATGTTTTTGGACCAAAAAAAGAATTTCCCGTTGGAACTACCCCATTTGATTAAATATTTATTTAAAAAACGAGTGGGCCACCTCAAGATGTTGAGTAGGTATATATTTTTTTTCTTTTGAAAAATTTTCTTTTTTCAAAAAGAATTTCCCGTTGGAACTACCCCATTTGATTAAATATTTATTTAAAAAACGAGTGGGCCACCTCAAGATGTTGAGTATATATTTTTTTTCTTTTGAAAAATTTTCTTTTTTCATAAGGTCCAAATTCTACCCTCATGCTATTTTTTGTACTTGGGAATTATCTAAATTATTTTTTTACAGTCTAAAAACAATTTAAAACAAAGATTGAAATATTTTTTCTCTGAATATTTCGTGGTTGGTTTTTTATCCTTGGGTATTATCTAAATTATTTGTTTACAACAAAAAAAAATTAAAAAAAAAAATTACCGATGTCGTTAAACCCTGCCAAAACAATACTTTTTATTTAACATGGGATTTTTGCACTTTTCACAATCATGGAAGGAGACAAAACAGAATTTAGTAACGTGCAAAAAGAACGTACACCGGAGCCCCTCAGCTCCACAGTGGTGGCAAGCGAGTCGTCACCACTGACAGTAGAAGAGGTAGATCTTCTCAACTCTCCTGCTGGATCACCAGAGCCGGCTAAAGCCACTGCTCTGGAGATCAAAGCCCAAAGGAGGAAGGAGAGGACTAGAGAGAAAAATAAGAGGAAGAGAATCAAGGAAAAGGAGGCTAAAAAGGAACTGAAGAGGCTACAGGAGGACCAACGTTCTCTAGTAGTATCTGACGTTCCTCAACAGGCAACCGGATCCGAGATGGCTGACCCCCAACCAAGCTGCTCAAGCCAGGTAAGGGTAAAGCCAAATCGAATTGGGGAACCTGGCAAGCTTCCAAGAGGTCCGAAAAGGAGGGAATACCTGAGAAAGGGTAAAAACGTCCCCCCATTACCATCGGCGCCGGCTAATGCAGGGAGGCAGGAAACGGGGGCTCAAACAAGAGCCCCTGGTCCAGCCTCCAGCAAAAGGCAGAGGGCGGATAAGGGGACACCTCCGGAATATAATAAAAAGAGGTCGAGGCCCTTTTCTGATGCTAGGCGGTATGTCTCCCCCTTAAAGAGAGACATTGTCGAGGCGTCGGAGAGGGGACCGAAAAGTAGAGGAAAGGTAGAAGATTGGGATCTGAAACCCCCTGTGTAGGACCCGAACCAATTTTTGGAATTACGAGAAAGCAGGTCAAATCAGCCCTAAATAATTGGGCTGATAAAAGGGCGAACGAAAGCTGAAGAAGAAGCGGTGGCTGTAGGCAGACCAGGGATTTCCTGGTCACCCTAAGCAAACCCAAATCCATCTGGCTTCTAGGTAGGAGCCGAACCTCCTTAGGCCCACTTGTGAACATACTCACGGGTCATGGCCTAAGGAAACACCTCACGAGAATAGGGGCTGAAACCAGCTCCTCCTGTACCCAGTGCGGAAGGGAGGATGAAACCTCCTTTCACTTCCTGGGACAATGTGAGGCCCTCGGCAGACTAAGGTATAAAATCTTTGGAGTGATGACACTCCAAAGGGAAGAGTTGGCCTCTCTTGCCTGGCAGGATATCCTGACCTTTATAAGAAGGTCTGGAAGATTCGAAAGGGCTGGTATGGGCGAAGAGGAAGATGAGGAGTAGTTTGGTTGGTTTAGGAGGGGCAGATAAAAAGGACCATGGAGTCTAATTGTCAGGCTTCGAGCCTACCCAACCGTACTACTACTACTACTACTTTGCACTTTTTGGGTGTCCGTTATTTCCCAAGTTAACTTTTTGCAATTGGGTATCATTTAAATTATTATATACCGTGTCGAAAATTCCGGAATGTTCTATATGCAACGAGTAAGAAAGAGACGAATGTATTCCATACCATAGCGACACCAAATTAAATGGGTGGGGAATACATCCGTCTCTCTTCTAATTGCATAAGTATAGGAAATTGTGAAATTTTTTACACAATATGCATGGGTATACCACAGTATATTATTTTATACATATTGTAATAAACCCAGTAATTTTGATAAATAAAAAAAATGTTGCATATTCTGCAAAATTTTTTTCAGCCTCAACAATCTGGCATTTATTTGACTTGCTTTATGTATATTTTATTTGATTCGAAAAATTCACAGAAGATGAATTAGTTTCAAACAAAAAACTACATTACCGTGATGTTCTATAAAAACTTCTTGCGTTAGTTTTCTGTGAAGTATATTCAAACACTTAAAACCAATGGGAAAATAACTTTTCTAATAGGGGTATGCTAGTGTCCTAGTTGGGTTAAATAAAATAAAGTAAAACAAGGTAATAATAATACAACGTGTATATTTATTTCAACTGTACAAAAACTTTTTTAAATATCACAATGTACTATCTTCTGCCGATGATCACATTTATATAGTCTTTGAAACACATATTTATAAAAACTTTGGTATCCATTAAAATATTACTTTCCGAGGGTGTATGGAAAAGCAGCATGAGCAAAAGCTGGAGCGGCTACATAAGGTGCGGCAACATGGGCGGCAAGTGGAGCTGGAGCTGCTACATAAGGAGCAGCAACATGGGTTGCAAGTGGAACTGGAGCGGCAATGTGAGCTGGAGCAGCGACCAATGGAGCAGCAACTGGAGCGGCGATTGCGTGGTTTACAACATGTGCGCTGTATGAGGAGGCGTAGGGAATGGAATAGGCAGCTGGGACTGCTGGAACCAAGCCTCCCAAGCTGCAGGAGATGACCATGGCGAAGAAAATTACAATCTAAAAAATATCAATAAAAAGTAATTTTTTTTTAAATTTCAAAATGAAACTAAATGTACTTACTGTATATTTGGAAGTCATCTTGCTTGTATTTTGGTTAATTGTCTGTGATTGACTATGCTTTAATTTTAAATAACGATTCAATTTATATGAAATTAAAACTGGGTGGTGGAGTTATTTCACAAATCATTTCTTTTTGATTGCACGAATTTTTATTGATGTCCTAGAATGACTTGAATTTAAATATAATATAAAAGTTTATTTGTATGCATGTTACAGCTTACTTACTTAGTTTATACTAAAGAAATATGGACTGCATTATTAAATATATTTAAGTTTTAGTATGAATTAAGTTTTTATGATAAATTATATATTTTTAAACTATGCGTGTAAATGGGCTATTGGCATTTCGACACTATTATCAGTAGGGATGGGATTTTAGTTATTTTACCTTTTTTTAACCGATGTAACTATTTGAAAACCATTAATGCCAAAATGTGTTTTAAATGATTTTCTTTTATATGAACCTAACTTGTTTTTACCTTTTTTACCTTTTTTTGAGGTTTTTGCTTTAAACTACCTTTTTATACCTTTATTACATATTTTTTAATTTGTCAGTTTGTTTTCACCTATTTGTTACCTATTTTTAATTATTTTTATGTGTTCTTTTTAAATTTTGCGCCAATATTTTATCCAGGGCGTGCAACTCAACGGTATAGATTTTTTCTTATGGTCACAGACTGTAACATTTAACATTTAACATTTCTTTGCAGTTACCTTCTTTGTAGTGAGCTTATGTTCTGTCATAGAACTTCTGTGAAGTGAGTGTCACTCAGTGAAACACAGTTTATTGCATATAAATAGTTTATTGTGGGTATGTTCTGTGTTTGGGTATGCGGCTAAACAAAATTATAAAAAATGCCCAAAACCAAAGAAAATCCTCTAAATAAACTCAGCAGTTGGATAGAGGGGACGAATAATATTTTTCTATTGACGGAAAAACTTATTTTGTAGAGTTTGCTGTAAAATTGTAAGGACTTTGAGTTTATGTTAAAACATCTTTCTTTAATTTATATACATTTTAGCTATCTGTTTGTTACTCTAGTAGTAAATTTGGTAAATATCAGGTATTCCCTGTTATATTTTCAGTTCCTTATAGCTTTAATTAACTATTGGTCAGTTTAAAAAAATATATTTTATGTTACTTATTTTATAAAAATAAACGAAACTTGAACTTTTAATGTTTTTTTTACCTAAAATGCTGTTTTTTTAACCTAAAATGCTTTTTTTTAGTACCTTTTTAGTTACCTATTTTTCAGTTTTTAGTACCTAAATATGCCATCTCTAATTATCAGTTATCAGCTCAGTGTAGTTATCTCATTTTAGCATAAATCAACTTACTAAGTTTTTTTCAAAAGGTACAGAACAATTGTCTTCTTTCGCAAAAGTTCAGAAAAGGTGCACTTTTGGTAAAATTTATTTGGTTTTTATTAACCAGTCTATAAAACAAAAATTAGCTTTATTTTTAAATAAACCTTGCAACTCTTTGAGTTTAATTTGAGTACGGGCATGTTGCTTTTAATGTTATATCCATTAAAAATATTTTATTTTGATTCAGAATTACAAAATATTGAGAGAAATGTCGTGATTGTGGATTTCCATAGTAAGGTTACAATTTTTTAAGCATATTTAGTGAAACGCATATTTTGTGCAACACCTTTTCAACCATAAAAAAGACACATGTGAGTTATGTTGTCTACATTCCCTGGGAAATTTGTTATGATATTTTGACCGTGTTTTTTCACATGACCTGGCAAGATCGTCCGATTAATGAGTGTTTTTTTATTTAGGTTAGACAAGGTCTACGAGTACAACGCACAGCTGATTGATAAGCTAAAAGACACCTATCAAGTTATTAGTGAAATTATTTTAAGGGAAAGGGGGTTCATTTAAAATCTCACGTCAACTTTTGAGTTGATTAGTTGATTTGATTCAAAAATGATTATTTTTTTTTACATGTTGTCCGCAAAGAAAGTTTAATGGCTAAAATCTGACGTAAGGGATGGGGGGTCTACCACATCTCACCAAATCTCACCAAGGGGGAGGGGGGTCCAAATTATCAGAAAAATGCCTTAATGAATGTCCCCTAAGGCTGAATACTCGAAATATTCTTGAAATATTATTTGCAATATTTGAATAATCTAAAATTCGAATACTCAAATATTTGAATTTTTAAATATTTGTATATTCGAACTATAAAATACTCCAAATAATCATATTAAGACTAAGTACATATTATTACAATCATATATGATATGTATGCGTTTCTTATGAATTTTTTGTTCTTAAATATTTAAGAAATAAATAAACTCCTCGTGATTTTTCACTGGCGCTGCCGAGTAATGTTTAGTGATTTAATAAAAAGTTTTTATAGTTGCCAATAGCTTATACATGGTACACGATTTTTGAGGATAAGCATAGGTAAGTTGACTATCGTATCTCGGCAGTTTTTAAAGCTAGCAAACAGATTTAAATTCCCCCTAAAAAATTGCCTTAATAATGTCTGAATTAGGATTAAAAATTATAAATTCTCGTCTTTAAGATATCTAGCAAACTAAAAATGATAAGTCAATTTTCTTTTTGATTGATCGGATAAAAAATTGCGAAACTTTTTCCTTATTTAACAAACCCACGCTTAGACTAAAAGAACAGATACCCAAATATCCAAATATTTTAATTTTCGAATACTCGAATATTCGAATACTTGATTATTTAAATACCCGCGTATTCGAATACTTAAATATTTGAATTATTTTGAATCGATTTTCACGCCTATTCGAATACTTATAAATTCGAATCCTCGAATTATTCGTAATCGATTCCCATCCCTAATCTCTAGAAGTAGCCTAGGAAGACGTTTAGCCGATATTTTTAAAACACAACCATGTATCTTTTTATATTGCTGTAAATAAGGTTCTTTCATTTCATATACTTCAATACATATTTACATTCATTGGTAAATTTCTTCCATGTCCCCTTTATATGTATAAACCAAATCCCGAAGTACCTTAACCCTTAAATTTATTGTTAAATTATGTATAAAGTCGTTCTTAAAAAAAATGATTTTATTTTTAAACCAAATCCTGAATTACCTATTGGGAGACCCTTCATATTATGCTATTTTTAAAAGATTTAATTTTTTACAGGGTACAAGTTAAATTTTTTAAATTTTGTCAGAATTGCCGGAATATGAACTCGTCAATACATAATTGTAATATAATAAGAGTTTGCTTAAATAAACCTAAAATAGCATAGATTTATTTAAACAGATTTTGTGCTGTGTCCAGCTATAAATAGCCAAAAAACCTTAATAGGTAATATAATAACCCAATTGTAATTATTTAAATAAAACTAAAGTATAACAACATTAGCCAATATTTATTACGAAAATACATAATATTTACAATTTAAAAAATATTTTTTAATAGGACCCAGATTTAATATCATTCAATATTTTAGGCATTTTGTGCACTCTGATACGCCACTCTTCCGAACTGATCCTGATTCACAGCAGAAACCAACCGTTGCTGATAATTATAAGCAGCAGGATATTTTTCTGTTAAGGCAGCTGCATTATTAAATGCATATGGGTAAGCATTTTGAAATAACGCTGTTGCAGGTAAAGCGTAAGGGTTAAAACTGGGTTGACCAGGAATTGTTGGAAAATTTTGGGGCAATGGTAGTACTGCATTGGAAAATACATTTGTTGAGTAGGTTTGGGGCACCAATGAGTTGGGAATTTGAGGTAATTGAGGGTACTGTTGGGGATATTGAGGTTGTTGAGGATATTGTGGTTGTTGAGGAAATTGGGGCAGTTGTGGATACTGAGGTGTTTGCGGTAATTGAGGCAGTTGAGGTGCGATTGGATTTTGAGTGGTTTGGGGGATGTCAAAATTTTCCAAAGCGGCAGATCTTAAACCTGTGTTGAATTGTAGCTGTTGACCTGGTTGTTGGTATCCAGCATCTTGAGATTGTTGATTTTGTTGAGGAATATTTCCTATGTAAAGTTGAGGTGACTGAATTGGTTGAAATTGTTGAGGATTTTGAGCTTCATTGGATGGAGAACACTGTATATTTTGAACAGCCAGAAAGAGCAGATAGAACATTACCTAAAACAATAATTCTTAATCGAAAAATTTAATTTTAAACGCATAATTACTTTATGCTTAAACATTGTTCTTAAGAGAGCACTGGATCGAATTGATAAAAAAAGTTTGTGGTGTTTCGTTTTTATACGATATCGAAATTTGCACCCAAATAAAATTTCGAAATACAAGGAACTGATTGGCATTTTGGATTATTCTTAAAACGGTTGATGACACCAAATATTTCATTAGTTTTATCGTGCATGGAATTTTATTTACAGTCAATCTACTTTCTAGATTACATTACAATCAGTATTGATTTATGTGAACATTTAATGCAGTATTTGTATATAATTTAAATAAAATTAATGTCTTGAAATAATGATTTTTTATTTGTATTATAAATTATACTAAAATGACTTAAAAAATAAATTGTATGTTATTTTAGGAGAACTTTAATATAATAAAACAGTACAGGGTGTTTCAATAAAAACTCCCAGGCCATTTATTTCGAAAACTAAAAGTGATATTTAAATTCTGTAAAAAATTTGTTTGAATAATACAAGATGTAGGTAGCGCCACTATGCAAAAAATTTATTCGATGACAGGAACTTTTAAATTAATTTTTGATCAAATTATGTCCCATACAAATTTTAGATAAATCCATCATGAAAGGAGATATTTGGGGTTAAGTTTTTTTTAAATAACTTTATGAAAGAACTGGTGAAAAATTATACAAAATTATTAAAAAAAAATAAGAACAATATCAAAAACTAACTAATAAGGTCGAATGAGGTGTTTAAAATTGCGGTTTTTATACACACATATTAAATCGATATGGGTAAAAATCAAAAAATGTTTAGGTAGGCGTCTTTGGCTAATTAAAAATTAGAAAAAGAAGTGAAGTGTCTCAAAACTTATTAGTATTATTTCTGCATGTTAATTATACGAGATTTATATTAAATATTTACCCAGATTTAAAAACATCGATTAAAAAGAAAAACAAAGAGCTATTTTGTCTCGTCGGTAACGCGTCCCTTATTACGTTTTACAA